GCCTGGGCCTGGGCGGGGAGCAACGGCGCTACTCGCTGTGGGACTGCCTCTGGATCCTGGCCGCCGTGGCCGTGTACTTTGCGGACGTGGGCACGGACATCTGGCTTGCCGTGGACTACTACTTGCGCGGCCAGCGCTGGTGGTTCGGACTCACGCTCTTCTTCGTGGTGCTTGGCTCGCTCTCAGTGCAAGTGTTCAGCTTCCGCTGGTTTGTGCACGATTTCAGCACCGAGGACAGCGCCACCGCCGCCGCTGCCGCCTCCAGCTGCTTGCAGCCTGGAGCCGATTGCAAGACGCTGGTTAGAAGTGGATCTGCAGCCGCGGAAGGAGAGGTTCGTCCTTCCACGCCTCAAAGGCAAGCATCCAACGCCAGCAAGAGCAACATCGCCGCTCCCAACACTGGCAGCAACAGCAGCGGGGCCAGCGGCAAACACAGGTCTGCCTCCTGCTCCTTCTGCATCTGGCTCCTGCAGTCACTCATCCACATCTTGCAGCTCGGGCAAATCTGGAGGTACCGTATCAGGGGTGGGGGAAGAGGGAGATTTGCTGCTGCTACTACATCCCCACTGCTTTGCTTTTGCACGAAAATCGTTTAGGGTTGCTGTGGTAGTAACCCTAGTCATACTCTCTCAGTTTTTTTTTTAAACTGGGTCCTGCATTTTTAAAATTTGTGATCACAACCTAGGGTGGGAGGGAAGTGAGAAGGGAAAGGCAGCAAAGTGGTTTTGCTCACCTCATTCCTCTGTCTCCCCACTCTGCTTCACTGGTATCTCTCTTTATATGCTACAACCCTCCCCCCTCACTGTTTCAGTGAGTAGGAGAGGACCCTTGTCACATCGTCTGAAAATCCTTTTTTATTATGTTGAATTTGAGGTGTGTGTTGCAATTTGGATGGCTTCTTTTGTTCCATGAGAAAAACTGCTAATTCTAGTTAGGTGGGAGTTGTTGCTGCTGAAAAGTACCCACATTTTAATTATCACTGCTAGAGGAGTACTGTGCTCCAAGTAAAAAGCTTAGTAGGGCCACGGCTTGCCTTTTTTTGGAGAATATCTAATATCTCTATATCTCCAAAAATGAGTTAGTACACTTTATGGGACCCAGACTTTACTTTTCTGATGGCACTTTATGGTTATCTTGCAATATCACCCTTATCTAATTGCTCATATCACTAAGAACACTTGGAAAAGGGGTGGTGCATCTTGTAAACTTTAATCATTCTTGGCATCTTCTTTGCTACTTGTCATCTTCCCTACCAAGTCTCCTTACATGGGTATCACTTCCACTTTCAAACTGGAATATGAGGCAAAACTTGTCAGGCAGAGGGAACCATCATTTGAGGAGTCACTGTCTTGATTTAGGTATATAATGGAACAGTATACTCAGGAATGTGTTCCTAGGACTTTTATATTTTTTAAAAGCTTTTGAAGTAGCATTTTACATCTACAAAAATTCTTTGTATCAAAGGATTTACATGCTTACATCTGAGAGCTTTTTGGTTTAAATTGACTTACTATAAGTAAAATGATGAAAAATCCTAGTAAGTGCACTGTACCGGACTACATTCTGCTATGCCAGTGTCCTTTTCAATTTCATGTATAGTTATTTTTGTACTAGGTGATAAGATTAACTTTGTGATAAGTTAATAATCATTTGTAGAACAGAACCAAAAACTTAATGCTTGTTTGTGATGAACAATAGTGTTTTATTGAAAAGAGCAAGTTCAGTGATTATTTTGCAACCTTTCCTGGGACTATTGCTTTGTAAATCAGGGTAAGCATTGCCATAGACAGTGACCTTTGAGATTGTGAAACTTTTATTTTTAAGCAGATACTTTCTGGAAAAGTGGTATATAATATGCAGTCAGACAAATTGATCTTGGAGACCTCCATATCTTGGACTCAAAGGACTTTATAAAATGTCAGTTAAATGTGATTGCTGTATTTCCTATGGTTGACTGTTGTGAAGATGTACAGCTTAGTGCTCTTCTTCAAGTTTGATGAAAAACTCTAATGCTTGATTTAATTACTGAAATTGTTTAGTGGCTAGAATGCATATGATTAGCAGTTTTAATCTGCTTAGCATTGCATTTGGTAACTTTTGCAAACTTTATGCACGATTTGGGAATCACTTTTAATCATCTTTAAAATTCTAGATATATATATATATATATATTGCAAACCCTTCTCAGTCTATTAACTGAATAATTATCCATGTTTCCTAGTGATGGATACTTGATGGGAAATTGCTATCAAATTCTGTGAACTGAGGAAGTTGTTTTAATTGCAGTTATATTTACACTCCTTCTACATCAAACATTTTCCCAATTAGAAATGATGTTTATTATTTCAAGACATAAAATGTGGGAAGTGGGAAATAAGTAAGAAAAGGGCCTAAACACATCTCAATGAGACCACAGACACTGGGTCAACTGGCCATACAGACAAGCTGTCAAAGGGGAGGAGGCAAGGAAGGGTAAGGCTGAAGGCAGAAGGAAAACCACAGGCTGTCAGACAAATGCATTAACTGATCCAGCCCTTGGAGAAACATGTTCACAAACGACACCCTTTTGTTAAGCATTTCTACAGTGTTTTCCTGAGAGGCTCTAAAGCAGCGGTTCTCAACCTGTGGGTCGCGACCCTTTTGGGGGTCGAACGACCCTTTCACAGGGGTCGCCTAAGACCATCGGAAAACACATATATAATTACATATTGTTTTTGTGATTAATCACTATGCTTTAATTATGTTCAATTTGTAACAATGAAAATACATTCTGCCTATCAGATATTTACATGACGATTCATAACAGTAGCAACATTACAGTTATGAAGTAGCAACGAAAATAATTTTATGGTTGGGGGTCACCACAACATGAGGAACTGTATTAAAGGGTCATGGCATTAGGAAGGTTGAGAACCACTGCTCTAAAGTTTCTTCTGCTAATGCACGGTCACCTGGGAGGAAGTATTGTTGGAAATATTTTTAGATATTTATCCACATTTCAGAATAATGTGTTTAATATGTAAATCTGAATTATCTAATATAACTGTTCCTGGATTCTGGTTCAGATATTTGGGGGATGGTGGGGTAACTGGGTTCGAAGCATGATCTGAGACAGCCTCATTTTCTTAAAACTTTAACCTGACTTGAAAGGAGTTCAGAAAGTTCATTGAATTTAACACTCAGATGCATCTTAAATAGTTTCATCTTCTTTAAATGTAGAATATTTGAATGGAAATTTAAGGGATAGATGCATTTTTGATAACAAACCAGTGAAATGCAATTAATCTAAGATTATTGTACTAGACCACTATGATTTCTTAAATTAGAACATCCCTCTGCCTCTTCTAACTTTTCTTTTCAATGAATAGTACACAAATATTGCAGAAACACAAGAGTACTGAATGGTTCAAAGCTCAGAGGTCATTATTCATGTTTTAACATGCTGCTTTCTAAGATCAATAGAATAAATTTTAGTCAAGTTGGTAACTGCTCATTGGATATCCATGAAATTCTAGTTACTTTAGGTAAGGGCCAGATTCTAAAAGCTTGTTGTAGATAAAATCTTTTGAAATAACATCAAAGTGTTTGCTTGTTCAGAGATTTCTATTCTAAATATTTTGGGCAGATTCACATGTATTTATACATTTATTACAAATGCAACTGCTGAAAGCATGATACATATTCATTTTAATTAAAATTTACTACTGGGAAATTAATGGCAACTTTTAAAGTCACAGGAGTTTATTCTGGGAAAGAGCCATTTGAAATAATGAAGTGAACTTTTGCTACCATGTGAAAAGAGCAATTATGCCTTTAAAGGAACAGTGCCTGTGAATGAATGAGAAAGTATTTTTCTTTCTTGTTTTTTCACATAATTCCAGAAGTTGCTAGGAGTATATATAGTTCAGCCAGTGGGAATCATAAATGCTTAATCAGTACAGTCTTTAGTCTTTATACCCCTGATCAATTATTTCTAGATGTCTTCTTCCTTCAGAATTTGTGACTTATTCTTAAAATTCTACCTGAATGTTCTTGTTTATTTGTTATTTTAGCAAATACTCTCTCACTTTTATAGTAAAGTGGGGGAGTATTTACTATTTTTACTAGTTTGGATTTTGTTTCTGAACATCTATCATGAGAGTCACAGGGGTGAAAAAACAGCTTTTCTGCTCTTCTCATACTTGATGTTTTACAAGGTATTAGCAGGTGTTCCATATTCAAATATATTGGGAAAATGACAGGTTAAACAGATGTCTCTACAGCAGGACTTCTTAGAGCCTTTAATAGGCTAATGTGCAGTTGTCAATAACTTGTACTTGATGTGGCACACAAAGCACTTTGAGGAACATTGTTCTATGCCATTCTTAAACCTGGCCAAAAAGGAACTATAATAACAATTTTATATGGCACTTAAAAATCTACAAATGTTCTTATATTCCTTATTTTATCTAAGTTTTACTGTAGCCTAAGAGGCAAGCATTAGTATCTCTCTATATGAGAAACTGGCTCAGAGAGAAGATCACTCAACTGTTATGCGATGTGGCTAGGACCCAAAACCAGGCCTGTTTACCCTAAAGTGTATGTTCTTTCTGGCTCAGTTAGCTGCCTCCAAATGCCAACTTGGATAATAAGGACAATAATAAATAAAAATGACAATTTACTTTGACTAAGGATGGCAAGTGGGAGTTGCAATTTGGATAACTTAGGAGATCTTTCTAATAACACTCCAGTAGTTAAATGGAGGAACATAGACTTAAGCTCAGATTGCCAGACTCTTATGTCCAGTGCGCTTACTATACCATTTGGACATGTTGAGGTTGTTGTATTAAATCCCAGCTGAGTAACATGATCTTGTAGTAGCATTAATGATTAAATGGTATAATGTATGTGAAGAATCGAAAGTTCTTTGCAAATGATAAAAAGGTTCTAGAGACAAGGAATGGGTAGGAAATAGAGAACATATAGATTACACCTTTGGCTATTGAAAAAGAGCTTTATTGATTCAGAGTTAGTTCTGAATTCTGATATAGGTCAGGCAAGATTGGTGCCCTTTTCTGAATTTGAGTGGTCATTTTCTGTATATTTGTGTTCCCTCTACTGCATATTCATTAGTTTATTCAGTCATCATATATTGAGCACCAAGTCTATGCAAGGTGCTGTGCTAGTTACTAATTATCCCAAGATGAATAAAATACAGATCTTTTTTCAAGGAATCTACTGTCTGACAAGGAAGATAGAAAAGTAGATAAATAATTTCAACACAAGAAAATAAGTGAGCACTATAATAGAAACAGGAAATTCAAACCACCTAAGCCATTCAGGTAAAACTCTAGAGCAGTGAATGTTGGAACAAAGGTTTGAATGATGAGGAAATCTGCTATCTGAATAAAGTGGGGCATTGGCTGTAAAGCCTTGGATATGATTATTGTGAAGGCGGAGGGGCAAGAAAGAACAAGACAGGTTAAGTGTGTGTTTGGAATAGAGTGAGTGAGAGGTAGTAGCTACAAATGA